TGGTTGGTTGGGTGGTTGGGTGGATGGTTGATTGGATTGATTGATTGATTGATTGATTTAGTTTTTGTTTTTTATTGAACAAAGAGAGAGAGAGAGAGAGAGAGAGAGAGAGAGAGAGAGAGAGAGAGAGAGACATACTTACGTGTGTGAACCATAACACTTTGCGAAGAAACGAATCCCGCATATATTGCACATTCTCCCAATCCCAAATGCCACATCAAATGTTTGTAAATAACAATTTTTTTTTTTGAGGTGACTGGTCGGTTTGATGTGCTGCGCGATGGAACATTCCTCTGACATAAGGTTTCCCAAGACGGGGAAGCCATTGTTGTGCTCCCAGTTGGGTAGCGACCACATGCTATGCAACGACCCTCACTGTTGCACCTCACAGTCACTGTGTTAGACATCATCTTGTTCATATGAGAACCATCTGCACATAGCCGATTTGCATGAGCAGCTTGTGTTCTGTGATGCAGAAGTTCATTTTCCCTAGCATTCACACGCCGTTCGTGCAAGTCGATTTCTTGTCGCATAGCGTGCAAATCAGCAATTGTGCTCTGAAGGACTTCCTCGGCTGCATGCAAGCGTTTCGTAGTCTCTTCAAGATTGTTGACCACATCTTGAATTGCGAGCCTTGCGTCGCTCAGTAGTTTGTTTTTCGACATTTGCGTACACGATGAACCCTAATATTCACGACACCGCAACGAAACCTTGTAGTGGCTGCACGAATGAAATACAGCACTTGACACAATGTTATGTGTTACATCTCTCTCTCTCTCTCTCTCTCTCTCTCTCTCTCTCTCTCTCTCTCTCTCTCTCTACAACATCCTACATTTCCGAATCAGAGAAGCCTATGTTCCAAAAACCAGGCGGTGTCGACGGTCTACATTGGTTCTCCTTGTGTCGTGAACATTCTTGCACAATTTCATGTCGGTTTTTTCCGTATACACCCATCGCGTCACGAAAACGTTTGCACTCGAAGCATTCATGTCCCTTTAGCAACTCTCTGTCTTTTTTCTTCCTGCAATTCCAAATGCATTTGGGTTGTGGAGTCTTTTCAGATATACTGCAATTCCGTGCTTTGTTTTTTTCGGTATGCTTTGCTGACTCGCTTTCTTTGTCTTTCCGCCCATTGTTCACATCGCCTGATAAACCCTCTCCGTACTCATGGTCGTATATCATTATCCCTTTGTAGTTCGGCCTACGACCTCGCACGCGCTCTGGGAAACCGGAAGACGGGAGCAATGAATCTCGCTTGTTTTTTTCGTCATTTTTTCCACCGGTGTCAGCGTTTCGCAGTCGAGCGAGAGCGGCATCGGCATCACGCACACTTGCGGCAACTGCCTCCATAGATTCGTCGAGATTGCGCAAACTCTCGTTAACAGCCGTTATCCTCCCCCGAATGTTGTGGTTCGCGGTGTCATGTTCTGCATATTTCATTGTCATAGACTTCTGCACATCGCGAGCCAACGTATATGTGTGTGAATACAAATGTTTTAGTAACCTTACAACCTTCCCGTGTTGTGCGTACGTTGTTTGGAAGTTGATCAATAC